ATATGATGTAAGTGGGTCTGCTTGGATCCTGAGCCCATAACATGCTTTGGATGACAAATGCAAATGGAGTGATATAAGCAGAGCACTTGGTTAGGAGGGATGTAGAAAGGGCTCCATAGCACACAAAAGAACACAGGTCACAAAGATGTCCCTACTAGGAACTAGCAGTTCAGTTCAAGACTGTATGAGTCTTCTATTAGGACATTAGGATCCAGTTTGGTGCTAATTTATGTGCAATTCTGCAGAAATATAATAATAATAATAATAATAATAATAATAATAATAATAATAAATTATTTGTATCCCGCCTCTCTGACGAGCAATCGGGGTGGCTAATAAAAGTTTAAAATTCCATACAATGTATTAATACAACCCCAAACTGTTGTCCACCCACCCCTTAAAAAAGTATTAAACCCATTTAACAATTAAAACATGTCAATTAAACATCCTAAAATAAACTCCATCACAATAACAAATAAAACTGTTTAACTAATTAACTAATAATGCTAATAAAGCAGCAACAGCAGACAAGAGTGAGAGAGGGCAGGATGGAGGACTCCTGAGGCTGAGAATTCTAGTCAGGAAAGGCCTGCCGGAAGAGATCCGTCTTGACAGCCTTTTTAAAGCTGCTTAAGGTTGTAATCTGACGGATCTCGTCTGGCAGGCCGTTCCATAGTCTAGGAGCGGTTGCCGAGAAGGTCCTCTGGGAGGCTGCCCACAGCCTAGTTTTTATCGGCTGCAGAAAATTCCTCCCAGAGGACCAAAGTGTGTGGGGAGGATTGTATGGAAGGAGATAGTCCTGGAGATGGATTGGGCCAAAGCCATTAAGGGCTTTAAAGGTCATAACCAACAACTTATACTGGGTCCAGAAACTAGTAGGCAGCCAGTGGAGAGACTTTAATACAGATGTTATGTGGTCTCTCCTTGATGTACCTGAAACCAATCTGGCTGCCATGTTTTGTACTAACTGAAGTTTCCGGACCAAGCACGAGGGTAGCCCCATGTAGAGCGCATTGCAGAAATCAAGATGAGAGATTACCAGTGCATGCACCACAGTCTTAAGGTCCCTTACTTCCAGTCTCAAGGTCCCTTACTTCTCAACAAGGTTGTCATACAATATGTAGCAATACCAGAACGATGGTGGTATCTGACCTCCAGGATCAGAGGGGGCATGCTTCTTAAAACCAATTGTAAGGGAAAGGGAGTAGGAGTGGGGTATTGCCTTCATCGTGCCCTGCTTATGGGTTTCCCATAGGCATGCTGAGAGCCAGTGTAGTGTAGTGGTTTGAATGTTTGGTGACTATTCTGGTGACCAAGTTTCAAATCTCTGTTTGGCTATAGAAGCCCACTGGGTGATCTTGGCCTAGTCACACTCTCTCAGCCTTAGAGGAAGGCAAAGGCAAACACCCTCTGAACACATCTTGCCAAGAAAACCCTATAATATTTTCACCTTAGGATGACCATAAGTTAGAAATAACTTGAAGGCACACAACAACATGGGCATGTTGGTGTCCACAGTGAGAAACAGGATGTTGACCTCAATAGCATACAGTTGTCCCAATTTGGCAGAAATAGTCTTGATTAAACTCCTGTTGTCTCACTTTTTCAGCAGCTTTTAAAATGTTTCAGATTCTCTCTCTTCCTTCACTTTCCCCATTCATCCTCAGCTGTGTTTGCTATGGAGCATTGGATCAGATTGGCAAATTTAAAAAAAATTATCTGATCTGAAAAGTTGCTTATTCCGTTACATTCCAGCTCTCCAATTAATGTTAAAACTTTAATGAGAATATTAAAGGGAAACAGGTCAAAGCTTGTTCCTATTACGGATTGTTTCAGAAATTGTCTTTGGGAACCTACAAACAAGTAAAATGCATGGAAATATTCCATAACATTTCACTAAATATGTGGTAGTGAAAAACTTTTAAAATATGTGGACTTTTTTTTAAAAGAAGTAAAACACAAGAACTCAGTCAATTGTTTTAAATTTTCAATTTTAATGTCAATATATGCCTACTTTATAAGACAGCTGTGTGGGTGGGTGGCACAGGTATGCAAATCATGCAAAAACTGGGAACACTGTATTTTCTGACTAAGTCCTGAGGATAAAGCACTCTCAGAAACAAAATGCCATTTTTTCCTTTAAAAAAAAAAGCTGCAGAAGATACATATTCTCTGAGCAAAAAGCCTAACTCAGGGAAAGCTCCCAAACTTTGTAACAAGGGAGTTGTCCAGTGCCACTGGTGGCAAAAAGAAATCTCCTTCTGCTTAGTTTACTGTATTCAAACATGGAAATATTTCAGATTATATCCTACATTAGCACATGAGCCTATATCCTACATTAGCACATGTATTTTACCTCGGGGTTGAAGGAGGCCTTTAGATTCATGTTGTTGTATGCTTCTCTCTAACAGTAGTTGTGCATGGCATTAACTGAGGTTGACAAGATTCACTCACAAATGAACAGAATTATATACAATCTGCCATCTGTGGATTGGGGCTCACATAGAGTGTCCCCACCTCCATATCAGTCAATGGCGGCATCCGTCCATGAGCACACTCATATAGGCATGTGCACATTGCCACCCATTGACTAATAGGAGCTTGAGCTCCCACATTTTTCCCATCCAGATTCTTTATCCACGGATTCAAGCACCCATGGCTTGAAAATATTCAAAGAAATATATAGAAAATCTAAAAAGCAAACCTTGATTTTTACCATTTTATTTAAGGGACATTATTTCACTATCTTTGTATTTAATGAGACTTGAACATCCATGGACTTTGGTATCTGGGGGGAGGGGGTCCTGGAACCAAACCCCAGCGGATACCAAGGGCCCATTGTGTTAGAGTTCTAAGTGTGAACAATTTTCAGTGTCTCTCTGCAATGTTAGAAATTTGGCATCTGGAGTGAACACTTCTGAGAAAGTAGACCTAAGTCTACGAAAGCTTATGCTAAAACTCAGGGGTAGGCAACCTTTCCCCTTTAAGGGCCAAGGGACTTCACCTC